TGAGGCAATGCGCATACGTACATCAGTTGTTGGGGAACAGGGGTGCGAGGGTGTCCTTGTACACTTCTGCTTGCAGGGTCACTGTTGTAGGAACAAAATGACGACTGGATGGAGCTTGGGTGTGAACCCACAAGACTCTTCTTGCAGTCTTAGGAGCTTGTCTTCCACCCTTTTTAGAAACCAGAAGGGTGTTTATTCTTCTGGGTAAGGATTTATCAGTGGGGGAGAAAAATGGAATGTTCTGAGTGTAGACTATTGACAGTTCAGACCGTGCCTCCCCAGCTGCTGAGTGTGTGAAAAAGTGTGGCATTGTGGGAATTGTGCGTGCCTGCAGGGACATGCCTCGGTGTGCAAGAAGAAGCGCTCTGGGGAAGCCCTACAGCCTGGGAAGAGACCCTGACAAAGCAAGTGGAATCCCAAGGAAAGACAGAACGTTAGTTCTGAAAGGGAAGTTTCCCACCTTTACTCAAGTGTAGGGAAGTGCAACTATGCCTTGCCCTTCCAGGAGAGCCACCACCTCCTCAGAAAGCCTCTTTCACTGCCGGTCAGCTCTTACTCTTAGGAAGTCCCTCTTACTGTTGATCCAAAATCTGCTTCCTGAAGTGTCCACCCACTTGATCCAGGTTTGGCCTTTTCAAGCCAGAGAAAACACTCTCTCTGTCTTCAGGGTGACAGTCCCTCGGATATGTGAAGATGGTTCTCCAAGACAAGGTCAAGCGGCGTGAAGGCAAGGCAGGCCTTCTTCCATATTTGCCCTTGAGATCGGTGGCAGAGGCCCTCCTCGGGGAGTCCTCCGTGAGAGATGTCAGAAGGCAAAGTACCCGGAGCAGGGCCTTCTCTGCGCTGGCGCCCCACTTATGGAATGCGCTCCCCAGAGAGGCCCGCCTGGCGCCGTCGTTATTTGTTTTTCGGCGCCAGGCCAAGACCTTTTTATTGAAACGATATTTTAATAATTGTTGATTTTATTTATTGGTTTTAATATTGAGCCAGGATGTATCCAGATTTTATATGTATGTATTTACATGTGCATTGATTTATAATGTTGGAAGCCATCCCGAGGCTTATGCGAATGGGACGGCATACAAAAATGCTAAATAAATAAAATAAACAAATCCCCAGAAAGGAGAAGGTGGGACACGTTGGAGGCTGCGATACACTAAGGGCATAAAGGGCTGGAAAAAGGCCCTTTGCCCCACCAGGCGTGGACCAACCGCCCCCAGAGATGCCTCCAGGCCAGGCCTCAGCACCCCATATTCCTGGTGTTGACCATCAGGGCCACCGGCTGGGGCAGCTTCCGTGCACCATCCTGCTCAGATTGGTGGCTGCCACTACAGTGACAAATGTCACAGGGACATTCGCCCACGGTGGCTTCTTATTGTAAACAAATGGGGCCATTTCATGGGGAGGAAGGAGGTCTCGCGAACCTGGGGTTGTTCTGTGGGCCAAAGTAAGAAGAGGCAGCTGAAGAAGGAAGGCAAATTGAGCTGTTCCCCCATGTGCATTTTTATGCAAGTGAAAGTTTCAAAATGTGAAGTGCAAATACAACAACAAGACCTGTGGGGACACGGGGCTCAAAGAGAGTCAAATTAGATATAACGCTTCAGCTGCTGGGAAACCGTGGGAGCGGGGACTGTCCGTCCGTTCGAAATCGCCTTCCTCCGCCCAGCTGTTTTTCAACCCTTAAGTGAAAACAGAGAAGAAACTTGCATATATTACCAGCTAGCTAGCTAGCTAGTGATCCAGTGCAAATTTAAGATCAAGCTGACTTTTGAACATGTTTTGCTTGACAGAGTTGTCCAGTTCAGACCCTGGAATCTCCAGCAAGGCATAGAAAAAGTCCCTGCTGCAAATCTTGGATCTTAGTGCTAGAGGGGTCCAAAATCTAATTTTGTGCAGGATGGATCAAAGGTCTAAGTGGGTATAGAGTTGCTTTGTCTGTGAACCATCAAACTAAAAGATGCAGTTCCTAGATTCCTGTACAATTGACCAATAACCCAGAAAAGCCAGTGGGAGAAAAAAATGCGTTTGTTTTCTTCAACAAGCCAGAGAAATTGCAATCCGATTTCTCCAACAAGCCAGAGAAATAACAGTTGGTTTTCTCTGGCATACTGGTGAAATAACACAATGTTTTCTTCAGCATGTCAGAGGAATAGTTGCTTTTCTCTGACATGCCAGGAAAATAATGGTTTCTGTTCTCTGATAAACCAGAGAAATCTCAGTTTGTTCTTGGGTTATTTCTTTGGCTTGTTTCTCCCTAGTTCACATGTCACAACAATCTTGCTTCCAGTGGGAACAACTGGGCAGAATCCACCAGCCTCTGGCAATGAATCCACACAAGTACCCATAAACCATTTTTAAAAACCCAGGTTTAGTTGTTGCGACATGTGAACCAGTTCACGAACTGACCATAGTTTCGACAATGCTCATCTGGAAATGCTGACCCTAGTTCCCCCCGTCCCTCATGCTGAGGAAGCTAAATAAAATCCGAGAAGTAAATCATTGTGCTACATTTGCACAATCCAGAGAGACTGCAGAGGGAAATCTGGTTTATTTCCTCCCTGCAGCATTTGGGTGAGCTGGTCCCCCAGTCTTGGGTTTGTAATTACCTGTGAGCCCAGGTGTCACAATGCCCTTGCTGCTTCTGTGGGCCGCCAGGTGGTCCTTGTCAGTGAGCAATCTCTGCTTGGACATTTTTAACACACAAACCCTTTTCGGGTGGGGAAAGGAAACAGCATTTCAGTTTGCAGACATGTTCCAACTCTGACCTTCAGGTCGCTGCGGTTAAACAGTCCAATTTCAGAGGCCAATTGGAGGAGGAGGCTTCTGGATTGGAATTTATTAAGAAATCTTACGCTTTTCTCACGCTCTTGACTTGCAGGGAGGTGATGGAAAATGTGATTGTTTCCATTTGAACAGCGACTAAATTGAGGCGAACCGAGCTTGCACGATAGCATCTGGAGCAAGGGGTTCTCCGTGCTGCACACACAAATGCACCTCATGCAGTCCTCAAAATTGCCACCTGCTCTGCACAACAGAGAGGACTAGCCTCTTGAGGGATTTGGTCACCCGTAAGCCAGGATAAAAATACCTGGGGCCAGCTCAGCTCTCTGTTGGCTGGCACACGCCTGTCTGCCTGTGGATGCAGCAGGGGCAGCTGCTGACCACCCAGAAGGGTTGGCCTACACCCCCCTGGTGATGGGTTATGCTGGCTAGGGATGATGGGAGTTGTGGGTCAACACTTGCCCTCCATTGTTGGAGGGCTTATGGATGTGTCTGTTCTGCTGCTCTAACAATTGGAGGCAGCAAGATTCTGGAGCTCATGGTGGGAATTCATTCTTTTCCTGGTACTTTTTGTTAGGAGGGTTGAGATGGGGCAGAGAAGGAGAGAGGGACGTGTGTGTGATTGTGTGCAGGGTGACTGGGGCCGTGGTTGCCTGTCCAGTGGTGTGGTGGAAGGGGAACCCTGGGGAGCCCCACTGTGGGGCTATTCTCAGAGTAGGAGCAACTGCTTCAGCAGCATCCACTGACTTGCCTCTTGCTTTGCTGAGTACATGCGGGGATAATGAGGCTTTCAAGTGCATGCGGGGATAATGAGGCTTTCAAGTCTGCCCTCTGTCCAGGACAGATTTGCATAGAGGAAGCCAGAGAAGAAGGACAAGCATTAGACAGAAGCAAGATATTGGGTTCATTGGCTCTTATTCCCAAGTAACTGTGCCTGGAGTTGCACACAACCCTATAAACTTAAGAGGTAGATTGTTTGTATGACTGTGTTTTATAATGCCCTTTTGACTGGAGAGAGGGCGGAATTCTTTGTTTTGGCTTTAAACAGGAGATAACAAAGATGCAAATTTCCTTGGTGGGCTGTGATCAGAGGTTCCTGCATTCTAAAATTATAATGATGCATAATAATATATTAATAGAATAGTAATCTATTCATGTAACACATATATTAATGAAATGATCCTCAGAGGGGATCTTTTGGTGACATACAGGTATGTGAGGGGATGTCCCATGGAGGTGGGTAGAGACCTGTTCTCCCCTGCAGAGGAAGGCAGGACGCCCTCCAAGGGAACAAAGCTCAGGGAGCCAAGGTTCAGTTTGGATGCCAGGAAGCACTTCCTGACAGTCAGGACCCCGAGGGTGTGCAATGGGCTTCCCCAGGAGGTCGCTGAGGCCCCATCAGTGAGGGTGTTCAAGGAGAGGCTGGACATCCACATGGTGGGCATGTCGTGAGTGGAGCCGGCTGGAGCTGGGGGTCAGACTAGATGGCCTGGGAGACCCCTTCTGACTCACTCTGTTTCTATGTTTCTATGAAATAACATATTATTTTATCAGTAATAATAATGAACTGTCTAGGCACCTTGACCTGCATGCTAAAAGGATGAGATAAAAGTATCCTAAATTGACACACCTCACACAACTTTTTGCAGGAAATGGACTCTTTTCCTTATGGGTTAAATTGTAGGACTTTTCTTTGCCATAGATTAATCACAGTTTGAGAGGCAACCAGGAGCTTTCCAGACTCCAAAATGGCTATCCCTACAAGAAGAATTAGTTTGCGATCCTAGGCAGGTCTCAACCGGGCAAATATACTGCACATCCACGCTTATCTGTTTTAGGGCTTTTTTCTTTCTAAACGTGCACCAACTCGCACCTTTAATTTCTCAAAGTGGGTGAAAGGTGTAAATATTGCCAGGAAGTTAAAAATAGCAAAGATGCAAACAGTTTGTTTTCGCTGAGAGAGGCTTTGAGGGCAAGTGTTCTTTTCCACTGAAGTGGCCACAAGTCTAACTAACGCTAGCGCAGAGACGGCCCCAGGGCTGGCTTGCCGGCCCAAGGGCTCCCGAGCCAACGAGCGCTCACTCCTGTTCGCTATGCTCATCTTGCTGGCAGGAAACCACTAACTGAAGACAACTGACAGAGGCGAGATGCCGTATTAGAGCGTTAGTGGAGAAGCGTGGCTGGTGCCGATTGCCGCTTCTGAGCTAGGACGGCTTCTGCGCGCTGGACTGACCTTGGACCTCTCAGGGGCTTTATGGGATATTCATGGGATTCGTCCTGAGCCTCTCCCAGCCAAGACCAAGGTGAGAAGCGGAGCTTAATGTGCGGCGTTTATTCACCCACCCCGCCTAGGATCGCCCCAGAGAAGGGCGCATGGGCCCACGGCACTGGGGGGGCTGCTTGCTTAGGCATGGGTTTGGTCCGCTGTAGCATCCCTCAGTGGCCAGGTCTACATCCTTTTCTTCGCCATTTGCCACCTGTGAAATGGGAATACTTGAACCAGCCTTTTGGGAGAGATGCACTGGATCCTGTGCAGTTTCACCATTACCATGTTTTGAGACTCTGACCTGCATCACAGGATAATGCTATTTTGATGCTCTCTCTCTCTCTCTCTCTCTCTCTCTCTCTCACGCAGCAGGTTTGCTTATTCATTTGCCTTTGTTAATTCTTTTTGCTCCAGTATTTTTTATGCCCCTGATATCTGTGGGAATGGAAAAATGGAAGATTCTCACCCCACTGCCCCCATTCCTGCTTAAATGGTTCACTTTATGGAGATATTTGTGGTGACTTTGTACCCGGTTTTGTTTGTTGGAGAGATCTCCTAAGGAATGTCTGAGATCTGGCATTTGACAGGTGTTCTTCCTTTTAGGTGATGCATAATTTGTACCTTGTGCTTGGAAAGGGACTGTTACTCCAGGATGAAGGATGTAACATTTGCAAATGTGAGAAACAATGCACTTTTAAGATACTTTTGCTAAAAATGATTAGAATGCTAATTAGTGCTGTTCGAAAGCTAATTATGGATTTTATTTGGGGGTGATTGATTTTTCCCCCTGCAGGGTAACTGCTAAAACACATCGCATCCTGCTCTTGGTGTGACAATGGGATTGTCTGGTACACTGGATTAAAGTTAGAATGGCTTTGAGCAATGGGCTTGCTTTCAGACTGACTGCTGTCTTAACTCCTCTGCCTCATGTGTCTTGGCATATCCCTGTTCATGGTTTCATAAGATATGTTGTACTTTATTCATAAGAGATTGCTCACCTTGTATGATGGATGGCCTATTGAAAAGAACTGAACAGAGAAGCTTAATTTGATTTAAGGCCAGGGATAGATTTAGTCCACCCCTGAGAGGATGTTGCATTTGTCTGGCATTCCCTCCGGTAGTTGTGTGAATAGAGGACTGTTCACCATGACTGGCTTCAGACAACATAAACCCATACTCAGGAGTTGTATACGGCTTAAAAATGGTAGGTATTAAAATGTCAGTTATTGTGTTGTCTGAACCCAGCTGAGATCACAAGTCATGTTAGTTAACCACATACAAACCACAGTTCTCAACCGAAGAACACACCAAGAGTGCTCATCTTGGGCTGTTTGTGCTCAACGAGCCATGGCTTGTTAGCATGACCGGGTTCAGACAACACGAGAATCCAAGTTTTAGTAACAACTCATGTCTCCAGGACAACCCACATTCCACCCATTGTTGCTGTGATGTACCATCAAGTCAGCTCCAACTTTTGGTGACCCTGTGCATGAAAATTCTCCAGAATGTCCTGCCCATGACAGTCCAGCTCCATTTTTGTAAACTCAGCTCTGTGGATTCCTGCATGGAGTCTGTCCGTCCGTCCATCCATCCATCTCTTGTTTGGTCTTTCTTTTCTTCTTCAGCCTTCAACTTTCCTTAGCATGATGGCCTTCTCTGGGACTTCTTCTCTAGCCAGGTTGGAGTCAGTGCAGTGCAGGGCCACAAGGTTGGTGGCCGGTTTGCAGGGGAAGCCGTATGAGGCGAGACTGAGGGAACTGGGTCTCTTCAGCCTGGAGAAGAGGAGACTCAGAGGGGATCTGTTGGCGACATACAGGTGCGTGAGGGGATGCCACCAGAGGTGGGTAGAGACCTGTCCTCCCCTGCAGAGGAAGGCAGGATGCGCTCCAACGGAGCCAAGCTCAGGTAGCCAAGTTTCCATTTGGACGCCAGGAAGCACTTCCTGACAGTCAGGACCCCGAGGGTGTGGAATGGGCTTCCCTGGGAGGTGATTGAGGCCCCATCGGTGCGGGTGTTCAAGGACAGGCTGGACATGCACATGGTGGGCATGTCGTGAGTGGAGCTGGCTGGTGCCGGAGGTCAGACTAGATGGCCTGGGAGGCCCCTTCTGACTCACTCTGTTTCTATGCTTCTATGTTTCATACGATATGGCTCAACCCATACTCAGCCGTTAAGTGTGGGTTGTTATGTTGGGTGTGCTCAGTCAGTGCATAATTATTCTTGGGGAGAAGACTCCGGTGGCCCATTCTGGCCTCCAGACAGTCCCCTAAACCTACATCCAGATGTTCACAGGTTCAGGGAAGGTGGAGATGCCCGGGACACAATCCCAGGGCACAATGCTTCTCTCTCTTCAACACGTTTCTCCTCCAAGCAGCGGGGACATGAACTGTGCATTATCCAGTTGCATGTCACAAATCACACGATACGCATGCGGGAACAGCTAGAGCCTTCCTTTGCTGGCAAGATCAGGACCCGTATGTAGCACCAAACTGCCGCTCAGGACACATGACTTCTACTGAATTAATCCACTGTACTCCTTAGGCACAAACTGACTGAAGAGCAAAAGCGGGGAAAGCACTGCTGCCTTTCCAAGCTGCGGGGAAGAGATGGGACAGATGCTTTTCACGTTTCCTTACCACCTTCTGATACCTCTCTCCCTCTCTCTCTAAGTTTTATCAAGTCCCAAATTTAAGAATGTAAGAAAAGCCATGCTGGATCAGACGCAGGGTCCATCCACTTCAGGACTCCATGCATGCGCACGGCGGCAAACCAGCTGCCACAGGATCCCTCCAGCAGGATGGGCGCGAGACCTCCCCCTGCCCAGCTCCCCAGCAGCAGGCCGGCCATTTCTGCTAGAGCAGGTAGCCCAGAGCCAGCAGGGCCAGGAGCCACTGATCGCCTCCTCCCTCCTGAATCTGCGCAGTTCCCTTTTAAAGCCGTCCCAGTGGGTGGGCATCCCCACTTCCCACGGTCGCAAATTTCACACGGTCACAAATTTCACAGTTTTACTATAGGCTGTGTGAAGGAGAAGCATATGGAAAAGGAGCCCTGCCTGTTCTCCCAACTGTCTGCTTCACGGGATGACCCTGTGGCTGAATGCTCTGGGAGAGGGAGAAAAATATCTCCCCCTCGACTTTCTCCACATCGCGCATGATCTTAAACACCTCTGTCATGCCTCCTCTGACTCTCCCTTTTCTAAGCTGAACAGCCCCATTTGTTGCAGCCACTCGTAGAATCAGAGAATAGCAGAGCTGGAAGGGGCCATGAAGGCCATCAAGTCCAACCCCCTGCTGCTGCAGGACACCACGTTACACCGTCCCACTCAAGTGGCTGCCCAGTTTCACCTTGAATGCCTCCAGTGTGGGAGAGCCCCCCACCTCTCCGGGCAGCTGGTCCCACTGTCACATTGCTCTGACAGTGAGGAAGCTTTTCCTGATGTCCAGCCTGAATCTGGGTTGTCACAGCTTGACTTGATTATTCCCTGTCCTGCACTCTGGCATCAGCAAGAAGAGGTCTTGCCCTTCCTCTTAGGGACAGCCTCTGAGGTCCTTATAGAGGGACATCATGTCCCCCCTCAGCCTTCTCTTCTCAAGGCTGAACATGCCCAGTTCTCTCAGTCTCTCCTCACAGGGCAGTGTTTCCAGACCCTGATCATTTTGGTTGCCCTCTGCTGGACCCTTTCTAATTTGGCTACATCTTTCACAGGGGAGCTGCTCCAGCCCTCAGATCGATTTTGGTGCTCTGAATGCCTCCTGAATGTAATTGCTTGGAAGGGGAGGTGTCCTTCCCAGGAAAAGTCCTGGGCCTCTGTGCTATCCAAATTGGGAAAGAGAGGGCAGCTCCCTAAACCTTAAAGGTTCTGCCACAGAGGGTGCTCCCTGGAGCCGGGGGTCAGACTAAATGGCCCGGGAGACCCCTTCTGACTCGCTCTGTTTCTATGTCTGCTCCCACCTATCAAAACAAATCTGGAGAAGATTGTGAACAGAGCACACCAGCCAGACTGTGACTTTTGGAGCTCACGGCCATCTATTTTTTTCAGAATACTCTGAAAAAGTTGGCCCTGTGCAAAGAGCGAAGGAGGAATACTTTACTCTTAAAAAATATTGGGTGATCAAATAAAGGTGCATCTGGGCATCCTTGTGGGAGCACCTCCCAGCCCCAAATCTGGATGGGGGAAACTGTCTTTTGCAAGTGCTTTGCGTTTAGAAAGTTATTTGTTTAGGAGGCTGATAAAGGATGCTCTGCAGCTCAGGGAACGTCTGGATGCTCCCACAGTGTCCCTGGAATACTGCAGGAGGAAGAGGAGGGGAAAGGGGACACACACACCACCCCTGCTGTGTCCAATTGCCTGTCAGGCACAGGGAATCTTAACCACAACATGTGCTTGAAATTTCCAAGCCATGTGACCCCTCCTGTGGTTCTATAAAGGAAAATAAACAGAAAAAACCCTATTCGAACCACAGGAAATGCAGCTGAATTTCTTCGTGTGCAGCACCGCACAATTTTACGTCAGCATTTCTCTTTGGTACTGCTTTGTTCACTAGTGGCCACTCCAAGGTCCTCCACCGAGGACTGCTTCTCAGAAGTCGCCATGGGTGGATTTCCCCGGAGGTTGTTCTGCTGCCTGTTTGAAGATCTGAGTTGCGAAGGGGGCTTGGGTGCTGCAGCTTCTTGCTACGTGCGAACCCGGCAAGGAAGGGCAGGTTGTTGGGGTGGTAGCCAAGCTATGTAGGGTTGCAGCTGGCTTGTTAGTCACTCCAGGCAGCCCCCCATCCCAGGTTTGCATGTGATGAGGAACTCAGGTGTGCGTATGTCTGGGACAATGCCAGGTTCTTGTACTTACCTGTGGAGCTAAGTATGGGAAGCATGTGCTTTATTTGTCGGGGAAATTCAGGAAGAGCTGCTAAATTCTTTCTCTACATATTGGATTCCCTTCTGTCAGTATACCTGGGCTGCTCTCATCAGGTAGCATCAACGGATGTGCAGAGTTCCTTTTCAATGAACTTTTCTACCCAGGACTGTCCATCACTGTTTGCA